CTTTCGGGCCGTTTTCAATTACCGGAATACCTTGCTCTTTCGTCTGGTTAGGGACCAAAGCAGGGATGAATGTCAAAAATGGACGAATGTCAAAGCAGAGCCTTTATTTACTATTTTACATTAATCACAAAAATAAGCACAGTATGAGTACTGTACACATTTTCATAATCACGAAAATAACTATGAACACCGTACTATTATACTGTTATCACAAAATAACTATGAATTGTTTACAGTATAATCACAGAAATAAGTACCGCATTAATAATATATGAATAAACACAAATATAAAAATGCTCACTGAAGGACTATTCAATGACTGAACGAAAAAAATGGCGTGTGGCGCGAACGTCGTGGAAGGTTGGATGAAATCAGACGAAAGAGATAAGCACGTGGACGAAATTTGACATGCGGTTATAATTTTAAATGGCCCAAAGAGCGTAACGACTAAAGTCAAGTGGACGAAAGTCAAGATATCGCTGTATAACCACATATCAAGTCAGATCCCCTCCATATTACGCAAATTAGGGTGGTATAAAAGGCAACTAAAGAGCACTAAGAACAAGAATAAAAGATAGGTGGCACCAGCAGGAAGGCCTGATCCACTGCTGGAGTGTGAAGTGACCACATTCGAGCACACCAGGAAGACCCGATCCACTGCTGGAGTGTGGACAAACCACACCAGAGTGCACCAGGAGGGCCCAATCCACTGCTGGAGTGTGGGTCAACCACACCTAAGGGCATCGGGAGGGCCTGATCTACTGCTCAAGTGTGGTGGTATGACAGTGTCACTTGTCTACACGAGCAGGGTGGGGAAGTTGGGGGCGGGGGGGGGCACTACCCGACGCCTTGCCGGCTTGGCGAGAGCTGACCGGGAGTAGCCCCCTCGTGCACCATCATCACGAGACTCTCTACCATCATCGCGAAAATTTCTGCCATGCCGCCTGGCCGGGCCGCGGGCCCAACGCGAACGCACCCGGTGAGTCTCGCTCTCTCCCTCGGTGTCCTCTTCAACCTGGGAGTACAGCCCTTCCCCTGAGCGGACAGGGGCTGCTAGCTTCGTGGCCGGGGGCCGACTGGCAGTAGCTCGCCCCCATGCTCGGGGCGTAGCCCCACACCCGTCCGGCATTCCTAGACCTGGCTCTCGGTACCAGATTGTTAGGCCGACTTCAGGTCAAAGTCTCGGAGCTAAGCGTGGGAGTGGGGAGGGGGCTGGGGGTGGAGGAGTAGCCCTGAGCCGTAATTCGCCAAGAGCATAGCCCACCTGAGGGGTACTCCGAGTTCACTAGTGTATGCCAAAGACTCATGATTCCACACGTCCAGCTAGGAAACTACTCTGCACCTCGCATTCTCACACTAGAGTTAATAGTTCACCCTGCTTCGTGGAGTAGAAAGCTCCCATGTGACCATCACTTTATGTCGATGTCTCTATGCGTGTATTTACCGATATGAAACCTTACCCACGGGTGGGGATGGTAATATGTGTATCTCTCCACAGGGGTGGTGTGAACACAGCCAAGGTTGGCCCTTCGCGCCCATGGCGAATTTATACTTTTCCCACCTTTTTATGTACTCTGGCGGCACGGGGTCTAGATATATCGGGCCGTGTATCGTCTGGCCTGATAGAGGGAGATCGCTTTGTGCACAATACAAGTTACTTGGCGGTGGCCCCTCTGCGCACAACATGCACAATGCCTAAAGTTGGCTCCTTGTCCCACGTACATACCCCCCAATACCCTCTTCCACCCAAGGTTATGCGGCTTTCCCACGGCTCAGGGAGACGGCTCCTCGAGGTGAAGACCCTGTGCACGCCTCAATGGCGGCAGGGATGGTTTTCTAAACAGAGGCACTCATTCGGGCCGAGCCCTCTCATAGAGTTATCTACCAGCCTAACAACAACAGTCACCTGCACACCCACAATGCACCACCAACAATATGAAGACCAAGACGACACGGACTGCATAAAATGTTAATCTCTTACCTCGGCTTTGGCTGCGCATAGACGAACTTTCCGGGGTGACTCGCCCTGGTGTGCACAGCGTGGTGGCACTTGAACTCAGAAGGTGAGTATTCTCGAGGAACTCTTCGCCTTCTTTTTCGTCCACGCATAGCCACTATCCAGCGTACCCTCCTCCAGACTGTCCCGCTCATGCCCTGTGCCCCGCCCTTCATAGTTTACGCACACCCTTGGCCGTAGCATCCTGAATCGCTACCGATAGGGAAGGGAGCGTACGAGATTCACCAGCGACAATCACGTAACCCCGACTCTCCCCTTCCACCCTTTTCCCGCCTCCCTCAACCAGCTGCTAACTTTCAATCAACTTTTGAAGTACTACCAGGTGAGAAGCGGTCGTTCCCATGGGATTGGGTGCAGCCATTTGCTTTCTTCTGCTTCGGAACGCCACTTATTCGATCAACATTCAACCTCGAACATTAAAAAAACACATAGTCAGGCCTCCAACTTGGGGTGACTTTTCCTAAAAACCTTTGTCCGTGGTGCGGGAGATGGCGTTCCTAGCATTAACAGTGAGAGAGAGACCCACAAACAACGTCTCTCACATTCCGTTTGTCCCTACGTTGCCAACACAAGTACCTTAGTCCCCTGTGGTATCGTGTACCCATTTACATTTGTGTGGCTTCGATAGCAACTATGGGTATCTGCTTTTGTTAATATGCTACCGCTGTACCCCCTGGGGATTCTGCCTCATCCACATCTACAAGTAATGTGCAGCGTTCGGCATATGGCTCCACAACAGTGCAGGAAGTGTGGAACAGTGGCTCTGAACCTTTGTTGGCGACAACTGTACCCCCCTTTGTTTCAACCGAGTACCCCCTTGCCTGACCCTACGTGGTTTTGAGAAATAAATGTTTGAATAATGAACGTCAATATTTTAACCAATCATACGTTTTGTGAGGTAACCTAGCTTGCTAGTAACCGCAAGCGAATAAAACGATGCAATGGAAGCTCTGCAAACGTGAACGTAATTTGTTCGCGTTGTGGTTATCCTTGGAAACCAACATTGTTTACAATCAATGAGTTTAGAAAGGTATTTTTTATCGTCCTTTGTTATTATGATAGGTTACTATCACAACCCCCTCGTTCAAGTTGATACTGAAGTGCAGAGGCGGGCCTTCAGGGCCAGCAACGCCTTCTCTGCTGGCCTAGAGATTGTCAGAATCAGAAAATTATATTTTTATAATTTAACATAAATTATCATTAATGCTATATGTATTTTACAAAGTTCTTTCTCATCAGTCTATTAATGTAATTTTATTCTTACTCTTATCTCTCAGTTGTGCTGCTTCCAGTGCAGCTCATAAATTAGAACTTTTATCCAATCAGATGTTCCACCTGTGCTGTCTCCGCCTCTTCCGGATGAAAAATCTACCCTGAAGGCCTTCAGAATGTCGAGTGAATCCCCTATGCTGTTGAAGCAAATGGGGACGATGTTGTGGTCATATTTTTGAACAAATCAGGTTTCGAGTGTGCATTGTTGGGCGTATTTAGCTGGCCTCGCCGCCTACTGTAGCATTTTTCGTGTGGCGTGATCAGAGGGCCAGTTAGCTAACTGAAGTAAAATTAGCTAGCACGTAAGGTAGCATCATCTAAGATTTATTATAAAAAATCTAAACGTCTATTTAAACGTTTAGATTTTTATATGTAGTGCCTTAGATTTTTTTTTGTGGGGAAGCCTGTTGAATCCTGATTGTGTTATTTGTGTTTTACAGCATTTTTTCTTGCTTGGTGGTCGTATGAGATAATGTGACCGGTTGTTGTGAGTTTGTTCTTGTTTCTTTGGTAATTACATTGATTTGGGCTATGCGATGTCAATTTGTGATGCAGCATCCTGTCATACCGCGTAATAGTGGTATAACCTTGATGGTTTCAGTCACCATGTATTCATGTCTCTGCAATTAGTGTATTGTAACTCTCATAGGTGTTGAGCCCCCTGTTAAATCACTTTATTTTATTCGATAAAGGTTACTGTCACTGCGAATATGGGCTGGTTATGTCGAATGATAATAGCCTATAACCCTAGTGGCATGGTGAGGTTATGCGAAGGTGGTTTAATTGCGGGAGGATAGCACTGAAGGCCTAGGCATAAAATACACGGCCTGCCACTTCTCAAGTGGCTGAAAATAAGTGCAGCAATCGAGTGTGGCTAAGGCCTTGTAGTCTTTTTATCAGTGAAAAGTGAGCAGTAGCTCTCTACAAATGTTCACTCACAGCTGCCAAGTTCAAGAGTTTTTCCAGGTAGTACTCTGTGGCACATTAGGAATGGACCACTCTTTTAATAAGTCCTTATGTGATCTGCAGTACATCATTGCACGTGTGTACATCCGCATGTGATGACTGCGTCGGGCCTGTGGGGGGGCTGGCAGGGTTAATGATTAACCGGACATGGACACCAGTCACATGGTTAATGGCGACTCGGTGAAGATTACTGCGTGTGACACACGTGCTGTTGCATTCTATAGATTCACCACAATAAATGTGTTTGCCCTCGATTTGGAGCACCTGCTCAACGTCCTTCATTTCGTGTGTGCAACATCACCAAGGTGCTCCTGGCCACTCTGGGACTCTCAGTCACTGCTCTCCCCATTTATGGCCCTGGAACAACTCGTCCCCACTTCGGATAAGCTTTGTCCTCTCTCCCCCTCCTGGCTTCCCTCACCGTTTCAAACATAAAGCATATGTTATTATCAGAACATGTTTGTTTGTATGTTTTGCCACAAGTATGTGTGGTTTAAGCACGACTTGATGACTTGCAACAGGTGTCTATTTGGGGGTTGAACATTTTAACACCCGTTAAAATGCCAGATAGGGTAAAGCCTATTATATTCTACATCATAGACCTCAACCCACGATGTTTTAAATTGTACCGTGTGTATATGTGCATGTGTTCGATGTTTCGGTCTGTTTTGTATGAGCAAGTGCTTTTACGCTAAATTGACTATATTTAAAAAAACAAATTTCTTCCAATAGTTTTGCGGTAGTTATACACTTTATTTGAAATTGGTTCAAGGATTCCGCGATCTCCAAACTCAAAGGCATATGGGAAAACTGTAGTTTGGTTTACAGTTGTTTTAACCTTTCCTAATACTTTGCACTCTTATCGTGTTTTGTATTGTTTGTTGTAACGTTATTACCCGCCCCCTATTGGACATCTGTGAAATAGAGCCTTATATCTTCTTGGTTCTTTCGGTAAAGTCACGTAGAAGGGAAGTAATAAAATAATAAAAATAAAACGTAATAAAATAAAAAGACGCTGTCGCCTCGACAGACCTGGTCTTCACCTGAGGACGGCTGCTTGTGTTGTGTCCGAAACGTCGTGAGAATTATTTTATTATGTTTTATTTTTATAATTTTATTACTTCCCTTCTACGTGACTTTACCGAAAGAACCAAGAAGATGAATCCCTGCAGTCATGAAAGCTTTTAATCGAAATAGAGCCTTATACCTTATCGGTTTCCTCTTGTAGTATAGATTTTTACGATTATGTAATACGACACTCCCTCCTTTTCTGTTATGTTACCACACATCAACCCAAGCAATAAACAGGAAGTATTGCGAATGTAAATATTATTAACATTGTCGAGCGTTTAAATATACTTTGCACAATACATTTTTTTAATGAAAAAAAATGTGTAGAGGAAAGGATTTCCTGTATTTCTAAGATGGCATCAAACTGCGTATCATGTACTGTTTATAGCGGCCTCCTAGAGTGAATTTTCTGATTAACAACAATTTGATAGCAGCTAAAACTCACAGAAAATGAGCTCTCGCATTCGTCCTTGCATGTCTCTCATGGGGAAGTGTTTCTTTGTGAAAAAAAAGGAAATTGATGCGGGTGTCAATAAAGTTTATGAGGACATGAAAGCAGATACTCCTGATTATAGCCAAATACCTGTCATAAAGAAGTATAACATTTAGACATTAAGTCACAATTTTAATGGGAAAAATTCACGTGTATATAATTAAGGTGTTTAATTTACTCCCATTTACCTTAACATTTTATAGAACTAAACCTACACATTAACTTTAAACCAGCTGTATTATATAGTGGATACATATTAATTACATGGTAAATACAAATAAAGTACATGGTGATCCTTAAACTAAACTATTTTTATTTTACCAGACAAGGCCCACTGAGCTTTATAACTATTTTTAGAAGCGATCTGGTTATCACAATTGATAGCTCAATGTAATTGCTTATCATTTGGACATTTATAGCAGCCAAATACTCTAAATGCGTGATGTCGATTCTAAAATGTGGAAGGCAAAATCGGAGGACTTTGAGAAAAATCTACATGACCACGGAGAGAACACGCAAGCTCCAAATATACAACAGGCTTCAGGGTCGGGATCGAACCCACGACCTCCTGTATACCAGGCAAGGTAGTTAACATCTCCCCACCTTGGCACACCATTGATGTTAAAAGAGTACCATGACACATCCAATGGGTAAAATGTATTAATTTTAACGCGAAATTTGCAGAGGATTTGGGTTTTATCATTTCAAGTGATTGTGAAAAATGATCGATTACTTATAATTTTGATAATTATTACTGATCCTCACATCCTGTGTGTCATCACCATGTAGCCACAAATGAGTCTGACATGAAACCGATAATCTTAACAAAGAATAGCAACAGATTAACACTCTATAGATGAACTCCCGTATAGGCTATGTTGGTAAGTAATGCATATATATTTATATCGCCAAATGTGTTGATTCTAGGTTAATGTGTTATATTTATAACACGTTAACCCAGAATCAAGACCCGACGCAGACGATCCATGGCTTTAATTTTCCACGAAAATTATGGGCACAACCCCAAAGTGAATCCACACAAACAATGGCAGATACGGTTACTTTAAGCACAATTGAAAATAAAAACTCTCCGGTAGTGTGTACCTGTGTTCACCCAGAGTAGACCACAGAAGGTATGACTCTTCAATGCCCAATTCACAAATACGAAGGGGGGAGGCATCATCAGAGCAGTACAATCCACGACATCTGACACAATCATCTGGCTCAACCACCTCAACGTAAAATTATAGTTGTTACTCTACACCTACATCAACCATTCGAAGCAGACGCCTATAGATTTCCAGAGACCATTACACTTGCATCGGTACCCTTAGACTAGTACAGATACCCGATACAAGCACATATCTATAAGCTCAGCTGCAAAAATGCAGAGCAGTTTTTGCAAGATAAATATTTGTTCTCGAATAAGTGCAATGTCGGCCCGCTGGTGGCATTATAACAATATCACACCTGATAAATTTGTACCTGGCACGAATTAATTAACCTTGAGTACAAGGTAAAATTGACCTTAATATGAACCCAGCACAGGGAAGGTCTGGTTCATGTTTTGAAACATAGTAGAGGAGCCGTTTTTTTTATATCGAACAGGAGGAGGTGGAGAGTGACTTGAATGGCTATTTCACATTGACGTATGCATTGTCGGGGGCGAGATAGGTGGGATCGGAACTGCCCACGGTCTTGGCATCATCTTCTGTCTTCGACGGTGCACCCGAGTCGTGGTTCTCTTGGCGTTTACTTGAATAAGATTAAAAGAAAACGTTTGAGCACGATGAGTTAACACACATGTAACAAAAACTATGTATCTGTATTTTTATAAAGCGCCACTCACAAGTATAGATACAATCAATCTAAGCGAAATAGTATGCTGATAATAACAATATATTAATAATAACATGCATTAAAAAAATCTAAACAATCGGGACATTTTATTTTTATGCGAATTATTTTAACAAGCGCCCGTAATTTTGATCAAGGCAGTCACCTGTCTAACACACTTGGACTGTGCCCTCGCCTTCTCTCTCCCCCTATCTCTAACCCCTATCTCTACCCCCTCCCTCCCCCCATTGTCTAACAAACTTGGACTGCGCCTTCAGCTCCATCTCTACCCCCCACTTCCCCTCCCCTGTCTCTCCCCCTCCCTCCCCCCATTGTTTAACGCACTCGCTTTACTTGTACTTCTAGTGCTTTGCTCCTACATTGGTGCTGGCTGCCCCGCCCATGCTGTTCACGCCGCACAGCTTTGTTCACTCTGAACGCCCTTGGAAGCAGTTGCTTTTGGAGGGTTTCTCTCTTTTCTCTCCGCCTGATGAAGACCGCTTGTGTTGCGATCGAAACGTCGTGGTTTTTTGCTTTTATTTTAAATTTAAATTTTTTTTAATTAAATTTTATTTGCTATCTACGTGACTTTCTCAAAAGAACCAATAATATGAATTCCTGCAATAACGAAAGTTTTAAATCGAAATTTTATGTTGTATTTAGAAGGGCTTCAGAGATGATGAATTCCGATACAAATATAGTCGAACCAACGCCATATATACTACTAAAAAAATATTACAATTACTTTTTAAAAACTTAGAATCTCATAAATTGTCCTCAAACTCATGCTCTTTTTGGCTCTTAAATCAGGAAATATCAAAAGCTCCACTTATTAAAAGAGTTCTACAATGTATGGACGTTTTGAAGGTGTGTTAACTTCAAAAGTAAAATCGTTATTTTCATTTGTGTTTTTTTGCATTCTGGAAGAGTCAAATATAAAAGTCCTGCTAATAAATTGATTTGAATTCGATTTTTATTTTAAAATCGACTATGCCTGAATGAGAATGTGATACGAGTAACATCAAGTCACATTTTTATTGGATCTTAAATAATTATTTATTTTAAATTGTAATTGTACAGTGTAAATGTCTCTAACAAAAATAAAGTGTTACCCATATAATTGTTCATTGCATAAACTAGACACTTACACCCATGGTAAGCATGATTTTCACTCGTGAAAAATTGGATTACATATACTAATAGCAAATTACGTGTCAATTTTATGTAATTGTGACTTTTCCACGTACCCATTATCCAGATCTTCATAAACTGAGTCGTCAGAATTCATGTATTCATTGTCGGCCTTATGACTTGCATCACCAACATCCTTTTTCATGCCACTTGGTATAGCCGGGAGTTCATCCCATTTTCTTGTGCTATAAAAATAAAATGGCATTACAATATATTGCTGAACATTTCTTTTTATTCCAACATGCAGGCAATGTGCAAAACGTACTTTTTTTATCGGAAAGGTAGCTAAAACTCATGTTGCCCGCCTCAAAACGCAACCGCACGAACCACTTCGCTTGTCACTCCATGCCTGTTGAGTTTTAATGTTTGTACTTTTTCCCCTTATGAATATAATTACTTAATTATTAACTTCAGAAATAAATACTTTAATCGTGTTCTTATTTGTCGAGACGTGTCTACAAATAGACAGTTTACATCAATGGAAGCTCCTGGCCTCCAACTGTGATTTACGGAATTTAATTGTTTTAGCCCATTGCAGTGTTTCCAAAATTGCTATTTTAAAAAAATGCCATTTCATGAGGAAGCCACTGGAGCCATGCACTTTTTAAAAACTAAATTGTAAACTAATTTCTTTATAACTGCGTTTTTTGTTTAGTTTGTGCCCCCCCCCCACACCTCTGATGAGCACCGTTGAATACGTACGATATGAAAGAGGTTCAACATGTGTACATACATACAAAAGTGGGAGATTCTCAGTGGTGAGCACATACGATTCGTCGATGAGACAACCAGTGCATGCAGGTACTAAGACACCAACACGTGAATAATGCCACCGCTAATTTTAGAAATAATTTAAAAAGCAAACAAAATCTAACTTCACCGCCACTTTTTCATTACTGCAGGTCACTGCGAGCTGCCTAAGTGACATTAAACCATGCTGAGCATTATTGATATATTCAGTGTACTGTGTATGCCAACGACTCAAATAGAATTAGTGTTTTCCTGTAAGACACTGGTTGTTATTATAACACTGGTCACACTTTTTCTGGCATAAGGTATTCCAACGGTTTTAAGGTAGTTTTGTGGTGCTGATTCTAAATCTGGCATCAGTTTCTGTCAATCACATCAGGTTTTTGAGATATCATATATTTGCATTTTCAATAAAAACTGGAGAAGAAAAATATTAAATAAATGTGGATATCTACATAAAATTATATTATAAACACACTATCCTAAAAATACAGCACCATATTTTAACACTAAAGCAGTCACTGACTCGCAACAACTTGCAATCATAAGTGACAGAGTTAATTTCTCGGAAAATCAATGAAAATGGGGTATGCCGATAGCATAAAAATTAGATGTGATAGAGCAAATCTGAGATCAAATTTGGAATCAGCACCCTGAAATTAGTCTAAAACAGCTGCAAAAGTCCAGGCCAGAATGACCGGTGTAATATATGCTGATAATCACAAATGCTATACAAGACACAGAAGCAAACTTTCATTAACTGTTGAAAAAAATGTTTCAATCTATTTTATAAATTAACTTAAAATATAATTTAATAAATGGAAGCGTATACACTTTTATTTTACAAGGTAAGGCCCAGTGAGCAATGTAGCTATTTTTCAGAAGTGACCTGGCAACGAATGATAACTCAACAAAGTAACGTATCAGGGGGGAATGGAAAGCAGCCAAATGTTCCAGTGTAAACGCATTTTTCCAAATTTGGAGGGAAAAACCAGAGGGCCTGGAGAAAAATCCATGCTACCATGGGCAGAACATATCAACTCCAAATATTCAGGCGTCAGGGCCTGGATCGAAGCCACGACCTGCTGCAAGGTAGTTAACATCTCGCCACCGTGGTGCCGTAAAAACATGAATATGTTTTATGACCATGTTTACGTAAATAAATATGAATATGTTAAAAAAATGTCTTTAAAAATGTCCACAGGTCCCGATATCTTGTGGAAGAGAGTTCCATAGTCTGAGGGCTACAGGGGAAAACGCGTGGTCACTAGTCAACCAAATCCTCGTCCTTGGAATGCAGATAATATTTACATCTCCAGATCTCTGAGACATAAGGGGGCTGGTGAAGGGGAGCGAGATGAGTGGATGGAACAAGCGGATAAGAGGAATGAATACTTATCTAGTTTGCTGTGTGGAATCAGGTCTCTTGAAACAGTTCCTGTAGAAATAGGGAAATGTTGGGAACATTTAACCAATAAGGAGACTACTAGGTGGACAGACACACAGATGAATGGACAGACAGAAGCAGTGATAGGTCTACGAACGAACCGAGTTCCAAGCGTTAAATCTGAGCAGATGCCTGTATTTATAACTGGGCTCGACCCAGTTGGCAATGACTGCACAAAAACCTGACAACATAAATTTACTTCTGTACTGGTTATAAATTCTAGCTCTGACAATTACAAACTCAGTCATAAACTGTCCTAAACACAAATATATACTCGATTATATTTCAGGCAATGGCGTTTCTTTAAAGCACTTAGGTGAAGAAGGTCCATTATCCAAAACGTCATCTATTGTATTCCCTTTTAGAGCAGTGGCAATAACAAATGCATTTAGTTTTTGCTATCTTGTGAGCTACTGCCAATGCAGTATCACAAACAAACTATTAAAATAATAGGTTTGAATGTCATGTGGTGAATATTGCTAATTCCGCAGCTGAGTGAGTAGGAATCTGCTGCCCCCTACTGTGCGACTCTGTATAGAGTAGGGGGCAGCCGCGCTAATCGGAGGTGCAGGGGAAGGACAATAAACTAAACGCAAACATAAGTTTAAGAAAATAGTTTGTCAACCGCGATCATTTTAAAGTGCAAAGCTCCAGTGGCTTCCTAATATCGGATGGAAGAGCGTTCTAGACGGGTGCAGAAGTGCATCCAAAAGTGCACGATGCAGTGACCGTGTTTTTTCATAGACCAGCCAAAAGCCGCTGCTGTTACAAGGATGACCGGAGTGTGTCTGACTCAGATATAACTTTAAGAAATATTGGACGTAGTTGTGTGATATATATATTTCCCGCAGACCGTTGTCTAACACGGGATGATGCACCACTCTACGAGAGATCCGAACAGATAATTTGTCTCATGACGAAACATCGAAAGCACTATTGAAATAACACTGCAGGGAAAAACACATCATCACCAAAACGTAATGAATCACTTCATTTAGGAAAGCAGAGTTGGATATTTACAATGAAGCTGCGTGGATTAAGATACACTCATCAGGGTCTCGAAGGATTGGCAAATAACCCCACAATCCGTGCAGTGTGGACAGGTCTTCATCCAGCAGTGAATTGACCAATGGTTGTTCATGTACACCTGTGACCAAAGTTGATATCGCAGCGAATGTCAGGTTGGCAGCTGTGCTGTGTGTGTGCGCTCAGAACGTACAGCCGCTCCCGGCGTACGTAGAGTAAGACCCCTCCAACAATGATCACCAATGCTCCCAGCACACCTCCCACCACACCTCCCACCACAGGGCCAACGATGCTTCCCGAGCCTGATAGGGAAGAGAAAGGGGAGACGAGCGGCATTAGTGATGTGTCGAGACCGAAAACACTCGAGATATAAAAAAAAAAATTGGGGTTAGATTGCATAAATATGAATGTCGTTTAACCCGAAACAGCCAATTAGTAAGCATTTTCACGTCAACAAAACGTGCCAATCAATTACTAGTTCAGCAGTAAGCAGTTGTGTATGGAGAAAAAACCCACAACATTTACAATTCGAGTACAAAGTTTCGCGACGGCCAGATTCGTCGAACCTAACTAATTGGCTGTGTCGGGTGGTGGCGGGTTTAACGACATTCATATTTACGCAATCTAACTCGAAAAACACCCTTATGAACAATATTGGTCGCGAAAGTACTACTATTATTCCTGACCCCCCAGCGTGTGGTGCCACCACCTCGGGTAACCCACTCATCGTCATAAACCCGAACCCTGCTCCTGACTCACCCACCTACTCTACCTGGTCCTGACTCACCCACCTACTTACCTGGTCCTGACTCACCCACCTACTTACCTGGTCCTGACTCACCCACCTACTCTACCTGGCCCTGACTCACCCACCTACTCTACCTGGTCCTGACTCACCCACCTACTCTACCAAGTCCTGACTCACCCACCTACTTACCTGGTCCTGACTCACTCACCTACTTACCTTTTCCTGACTCACCCACCTACTTACCTGGCCCTGACTCACCTACCTACCTACCTGGTCCTGACTCACCCACCTACTTACCTGGTCCTGACTCACCCACCTACTTACCTGGTCCTGACTCACCCACCTACTCTACCTGGTCCTGACTCACCCACCTACTTACCTGGTCCTGACTCACCCACCTACTCTACCTGGCCCTGACTCACCCACCTACTCTACCTGGTCCTGACTCACCCACCTACTCTACCAAGTCCTGACTCACCCACCTACTTACCTGGTCCTGACTCACTCACCTACTTACCTTTTCCTGACTCACCCACCTACTTACCTGGCCCTGACTCACCTACCTACCTACCTGGTCCTGACTCACCCAACTACTCTACCTGGTCCTGACTCACCCACCTACCCTCTTCTCTCCCCCACCAGCCCCTTCACTGGAACGAATTTACCCCTCAACATTAAGCAGTCATCTTTGCTCATTCACTTCCGCTTAATTCTCTACATTTGTCAGCACCCACTTGTATATGGCCTCACGTAACCATTTTCGTGGCCCACGCAGTAAGTGACGCTCTGCTCTCTCAGACACTGGCCCTGCTGCTTACCCCTCATTGTCCAGCATCCCTGCCCACTTCTCAGTTTTCTCAATCTTTTTAAAATGCTTCGGAACACTGGCAACAGCCTTTCTGGAACCGGGACCGTGTCGGCCCAAGAAATAAATAACAGAGTTTCGATGAAATCATTTCATATAACAATGCACATTGTAAATGGTCAATATTTTACACGCACTTTTGTTGTGCGTACTGATGAGTGCAGTGCTCAATGAACCTGGTTGCCCGAGTTGAATTCCCGATTACAGTTCATGTCAGGGGTCACTGATGTCTGAACCGGTCCTGTCCTCTACCCCCGTTCACCAACGCGCATTGATCAGTGTGGTGAAACGTGGCCAAGCAACTCCCACGTGTTGTGAGACATGGCCACGCAACTCCAATGTGTGGTGAAACATGGTCAAGACAGTGTTGGCAGGCCTTCAGCCATGAGCATATTAAGCTTGATCCAATGGCATTTGGTTTGCTGGAGACTGTACAATTGTGACTGGTTTGTAGTGAAGATGCAAGATGGTCTAAACTAAGTCCGAGTTTTCATAGCATCATTGACTTCACGTCTAGATTTCATACTCTTACCACAAATTACCAGTGATATCTTACTGATCTCATCATGAAGCATAAATCATCACGCAAACTCAGGTCATTCTCACAGCAGCAGCTGCCTTTGGGTAGTCATCGAACAATGATGACCAACGCATCATTGCGGCATTTTCAGATGCCCTTGCGGCCGTCCTGAACGCTTCTACTTCTGATATTAGAAAGTCACTGGACCTATGCACTTGAAAATCGTCTAATTTGAAAACTAATTTCTTTGGAAAAAAAGTTTCTGTTTAGTTTGTTGTCCTTTCTCCGCACCTCCAATTACCACAGTTTGCTATGTAGGGTGGAAAATAAGTTCAACATAATACTGAGCTGATTGGATATGCTCTTATGCTGAATGGCAGTAATTGGGAATACTTACTTCCGATGACACTCAATAATGTCATGAGTGGTAGAGAGAAGCGTGTGTCCGTGAAGATGGCTACCCCTCCAGCGCGGACAGAGCGTACGTTTGGGAGGTACGTGTAGACACGGAAACTGATTCTGAATGGTGACAATGGGAAAGGTGGAAGAACAACACAAGAATAGGGGCAGGAGTTTAGACAACTTATGGGTGGGGAAATATGCATCCATGGGTGGTGTATACAAGAGGTGCTTGAGAGGTCATACCTCCCCCATATGCCTTTTATAAGGCTTGTCATTGCAATTGCATAACATGGCACTTGTGCCAGGCTAGGTGCATTTTTAGCAGCAGAACAGCGTGGCAGATTCTCTCATCGGCAGCTGTCAGATTGAGGAAAACTGCACCGGTTTAACCACTCCAATTTACATATGTGTTCTATATAGGTCTGGTCAAGGCTCCTGCTCTTGCGACCACGTGATGTCACCATCCTTATGGGAACATCGCATAAACATTTCAGCGGGGTTTTAATTCGTTGAAATAAGCTCACAGAAAAACTCACGCAGGCGAGGGACATACCTGTAGGCAGTGTTTTGCTTTAAGGGGCCATTGGAGAAGCTGCTGCTCGTTCTGCCGGTACCAATTTGGACACTGACGACGGAGTTGGGGTTGGAGCACTCGGAGGGGTAAACACGATCGTCCACCTGGTACACGTTCGTGCTTCCACTCGCATATTCTGAGTACGTGCTCAGAGGCCACCTCTTCTCTGGACTCTCGCTGCTGGTACCTGTGTAATGGGACAGAGGGAATCAGTGGATTCCTTTTTTACATTATTAAAAGGTTGTACGCACAGTTTCCAAAATGAATCCTCAATGGTATACTTAATTGCACGTGAAATTTTGCACTTTAGATTAAAAATGTGTATATACTACGTTTTCATAACTAACAATTTCAACTCGAAGATGGAGAATGACTCATAGAGGTGCAAGGAGGAACCACAGACAATATGGAAATGCAGCAGCATCCAGGAAGTCATCTGGTATCAATTTCAGACCCAGACACCACCCCATGTTAGCTCTACAGTCCTCTGATTATTAAGGTTTAATCTGTCAATAAATGAGTGTTTACATCCAGGAGGAAACCAGAGCAGCCAGAGAAAACCTACGTAGGACAAGAACATTCCATACAGATGCCTTCTCCTGGCCAGCGAGGGTATGGTACCACGAGGTTAATGGGTAGGGCGTTTCACCACACGGAGTGATTCACCAACCCTTGCCCCCACTGTTGTGGATTACAGGCATGCATAGCTACCAAGGCCTGGATAAAGAAAAATCGTGGAAGATACAGGTATTGATGCCGCTACTTCTCGTATATTTAGCAAGCACTCTAATGTATTATTTCATTCCCCCTGGTAAAAAAGTTAACTATCATTTGAGTCGTGCATGAATGACGTGACTGAGCCGTATTCATGGAATGTCCATTGCGTTACCCTTGGACTGCTTGACGATGACCGTGTAGTACTTGAGGTCGCCGTTTGTGTTCTGGAACCAGCTGCAGCTGAAGGAGATTGTTAGGCTGCTCGGTGTCACCTGGTTCTGCACCGTCGTGATGTACACCGTCTCCGAAACGGGTGGAGGAGCTACCCACATGAGCACGGCAGGTTTGGAAATGAGTACAAGTACACAGACTGTCGTAATTTAGAGCCATTAGTTAATCATCTACTGGATGAAGGCATGGACATTGCTTGACCATACTTTCCATGCTGGAGGAGCTAGCAACAGTTCAGTTACTAATATTTACCATAGCCAGAAAATGCATGTTGGGAGGGTCGCACTATTCGTAGCACAACACCCTAAATACGGTGCCCACTTCTCCAACCTAACAAGTGAGGCTTTAACAAAAATCCCTTGTAACCGTTTTTGAACAGCCAGTCGTCAGAGCAAGTGCTCTCAATGAGCAGCCATTTAAAGGGTCGCACTGCTCACAATGGAGTTGGTAAGGCCACTCCCCGAACCAGCCACTTTTTTCCCTCCCCAGTGCTATACGTATGTAAGTGCACCGTACGTAGCCAATCATGCTAAATCGGAGGTGCAGAAGAAACACTTCAGCAGGTCGTAATTTAAGGTACAGGCGAGTAAAGCAAGGCCCAGAACTGAACTTAAGTTGTTGGGTGTACGATGACAACTTTGAACTGTTTAGAAAAATACCGCGTACAAAATGGTTGTTACTGGCAGGTCAGAAAGTTATGAAACGGTTAAGAAATTAAAATGACTGTTACAGGTTAGTTTGGGTGGATGGGTGCCTGGACCTGGACCCCCTGCTACCAGACCATTCCACCCGATTGTGTCCAAAATGCATTACAAACATTTATGATGGAGAGACAGATGGATTTGCTCATACATTTGGTACAAAATACAACAATCACAACCACTCATGTTCCAAAAAAAAAGTATGAACTCACCGCTTACGATCTTTGCTTTTCCTTGTAGAGTTTTACTGAACAATTTTCCTGAATAGGTGGTGATATTGACCAAGTATTCAGTGTTCCGCTCCAGACGTCCAAGCATGGCAAATGTTAAATTTGTTCTTCCATTCCCCGAGGCTCCGTAATTATTTCATTCAAAGAATACATGGTATAGACTTCGAGGCTATTGTTGAAGATGCCTACGGACTGCAATAGATCATTGCCGTTGATCACTTCCAGGTACAGCATGCTCCATACACCGTCGGGGAGAGACCAACTGCAGGAAATATTCTCCGTGGAATACGGAAAGCAAGAAAAGTCTCTGACAGATGCTGGATCTGGGGGTAAAAGGTTGGTGAATGGGGTAGTTTGGGGGGGGGGGGGGGTAGGAGATGAAAGATTGCTGAAGATGAAACTTACTGCTGATATTACCAATGAACATTAATCAAACCCATTTGATTCATAACACAGTCGCAAAAACAATTGAGACATTGCAGGGGCTCAGTTATGAGCATGTGTGTGCATGTGAAACACAGTTGGCGCCTAAATTTGTCGACTACATTGGCAATGCGGCCGTGCCAACATTGGCCCCGATTCCCCTCAGTGCTCGTGTTTACTAGTCCACCTCTTCTCCAGGTCTTCTGGTTTCCCCCTCCATTTATAATCATATGTTTAGAGTATTTTGCTGCTATAAATGTCCACATGATGATAAGCCACTTCGTTTATCCATTATGATTGCCAGGTCGCTTTTGAAAAAAGGGCTACACAGCTCAGTGGGCCTTAAATGGTACAATTAAACTAGTTTATCGTTGTGCGTGTCGAGGTTACATCTCTGTATGATGATAGATAACCGGGCCTTTTCTCGTGTGGCCCCCTGGCTGTAGAGTTCACATCCCCTGGACGTTCACTATGCTGACTCCCTAGCTTTATTTAAATCGTGCCTTCATACGCACTTATTTTAAACAAAATTTTCTATTCCTTAAATCTTTTAGTTTGAGGTTAGATTTTATTGGGTTGAGCCTGCACGTGTGTTTGTTTTGTACAGCGCCTTCTGACCTCCAGGAGCAAGGTGCGTTAGCAGTGTAAATTAATATTATTAAATAATTATTTCCAGGATCAAGGATTACGTTTGCCTACTTTAAATCAGCCCAAATCACATCCTTACGTGTTTGTGACTTACTTGTACCAAAAGAGAATACTGGCCTGTCAAAATGACCAGTGTGAATCGTGTATGTCTATTTTAAATCCAGGGGAAATGGCTGCATTACATGGTGGTGAAAGTTTTCAATATCAAATAATGTAATACAGTATATTACACACAATGTACTTGTGATATATAATAGCATTCAAACTATTGTCTAAATTAATATAGTCCGATCAACAGACTGTATAGGTACTTACAAGTTCTGTCCATTATATATGCCCAATATGAGACAGACCCATCGGAAGCCTGCACAGACACGGAGTAGTTCATTCCAGGAACCAGGCCAGTAAATGTTGACGAGTTTGAGTAAATCGGGAATGTTGTAACCAAGTTTCCACTGTCAGTCTCTCTCAAGTAGGCCCAGTAGGAGAACGAGTCTGGGAGATAAGTCGTTCCTGAGACTGTCATGGTCGTGGTAGTCTTGTTGGTGATGGTTAAAACGATGTAACTTGACACTGAAATGGCCACATGCAAGCAATACATTTTTATGGCATGTTTTAGTTATTTTACAATGATTAAAGTGAAAAATGAGGAAAGACCAATTGCAAAAATAACACAGCATTTTGTAAGCAGGGACGACACTAACCTTTGAGAATATAATCATCTTGTTAATAAATGTATTAATAGATAACATTTGCTGTCATCTTACCAGATCACATTTTACCAATGGCGAAATTTCTCAGTTAAAATGTAAACATTTTGTTAGAAATCACTTTGTTTTCAAAAATGTTCTTACAATTGATATGTTCTGTTCCAAATAAATTTCTATGAACAATTAATATATTTTCCATCAGGGTCTAATCTGTTTGTTCTTCAAGTTAGTTTTTATCACCTTTTTAACGTAACATTTATGTCGTCATAATTCAATGACTGAGCCATTTTTTCCATACACATATATGTCCTACATTGTTAGTAAATAGGTAGGTTAAAAAGAGGGCATTATTAGACACAATTCATGCCCAAAATGAAACTTCATGCATGATCGAAATTATAATGTCCTTGAACATGATGGGTCTATAATATAATTAACAATGAATATATATATTCTTGGTTATTTCGGTAAAGTCACATAGATAGAATAAAAAAATGTAATCTACGTTACTTTACCGAAGAACCAAGAATATGAATTCCTGCAGTCACGAAAGTTTAAAGTCTAAATGTAATGAATATATAACCAGGCAAAAACTCACAGGTCGTTCTGGTAATGATAGCGGATGGTTGGTAGTAGATGCCACTATAAGCCGTTACAGAAGCATCATAACTTCTACCAGGAACCAGATCAGTAAATTCTTTTGTTTAAGTGTGGACACATTGAAGAGCTTCACTGCTGTTGGGTTGTAAGTTTCATTTAAATAGACCACGTAGTAGTCAACGTCTGAAGTTGGAGCCACCCATGAGACCATCATGCTGTAGGGCTGGTGACGGTGGATGGTGACATTGACTTGTGGAGAACTGCAATGTAAAATAAACGATGAAACAGACGAATTGCAATAGATACTTGCGGCATTGACTTAAGCCACTAAAGTGGCATATAACACGATGAATATTTATTTTAATATGCACATTTTCTTGTCAAATTATTGATTTGAAAAGTATGTAACTTAAAATGGAAATGTTAAGCAGAAATTTAGGCAAACAATTGCCATGCAGGCATCCCTCGCATTGCACATTCCTCCCCCCACTCCCAAAGCGCGAATGTGGAGCTACGTAATTAACTTGTTAGGGACATACTTCACACTTACGCTATTGGGTTTCAGTTACGCGCTGAATAAAAAATGAACTTGTAACAAGTAAACCCGTAAAAACAAAGTTTTTCACTATAAATCCTTTATATGCGTGGCGGCTAGAGTCCTCTCGTCCTCTGGCTTGAGATGGCTGCCACCTATGGGTCAGATGATTGT